TACACACACCAACAAACTCCGAAGACTACAAGAACGCCAGAAACAAACCCCTCCTCCCTCACAGCCACACATGAAACAAACAGTGCATAACATCTCAGATAGGATCCTCACCAAAGCCGAAACCAATGTCCTGTCCAAAGGATTCAACTTTGCAGTCGCTCCCAAACACATCCCCACTGAAACCATTATATGTGGAGTTGAAACCAGCCTGACCAAAATCAACCCCGACGACGCTAACAGAATCAGACTCAAAATCACCAACATCCTCTGCACCAGCAAGCCACCCAAAAGCAACTTAACCAAAGAGGAACAGACAGCACTACGTAACCTGAAAGAAGACACCAGCATAATAATCCTACCAGCAGACAAGGGCAACGCCACGGTGGTTATGAACACATCTGACTACCAAACCAAATTAACCAACCTACTCCAAGACTCCACATACAAACCCCTAAATACAGATTCCACCACCTACCTGGAAAAAACCACCAGATCCAAAATAAAAGCCTCCCCCATTAGCGAAGAGATCCAGCAAAGAATCATTCCCAGAGAGAAATCATCCAGATGCCCCAAACTCTATGGTCTCCCCAAGATACACAAAGAAGGAACCCCACTCAGACCTATAGTCAGCTCCATAGGCTCACCTCTACAAAACCTAGCCAAATTTCTCGCCAAACAACTACAGCCCTATGCAGAATCCATCACCTCACACGTAAAAAACTCATTCCAGTTTATAGAGATCATAAAGAAACAAAACTTACAGCCCAGCGACCTACTGTGAGCTTTCGATGTCATATCCCTCTTCACCCAAGTGCCTATCAAAGAAGCCTTGACAGCTATCCAAAACAAATATAACCCCCCCAAACACATCTTAGATCTGACCAACCACTGCCTATCCAACACATACTTCATCTATAATGGACAAAAATACAAACAAACAGAAGGAGCACCCATGGGATCACCCCTCTCACCTGTCATTGCAAACCTCTATATGGAACAGTTTGAAACCCAAGCTCTAGAAAAATCGGATCACAAACCCAAACTCTGGCTCAGATACGTAGATGACACCTTCATAATCTGGCCACATGGGAAAGAAAAACTGGACAACTTCCTCACACACCTCAACAGCCTACACCCCAAAATACAGTTCACCATGGAAACAGAAGCTAACAACCAACTTCCCTTCCTGGATGTCTTAGTCTACAAGAAATCCAATGGCTCCCTAGGACACACCATCTACCAGAAGAAAACACACACAAACCGCTATCTGCACGCTCTCTCACACCACCACCCAGCACAGATCAACTCTGTAGCCAAGACACTCATCTCCAGAACAAAACGCTTAGCTGACGAACAACACCTAAAAACCGAACTACACACTCTCACCAATGTACTAAAATCCAATGGATTCCAAAGAAATAAGATTACAAACCTAATCCAAAAAGAAACCCCCACTAAAATCCAAGACGAAGAACAAGAAAACGGCAAAGCCCTCCTCCCATACATAAAAGGCACCACAGACAGAATCAGTAAGATCCTCCATAACCACAACATCAAAACAGCATTCTGCACAAACAGACAAATATCCACCATCCTTAGGAAAAAACCCCCAAAGATAAAATTGAATTAGAAAAATCAATAGGAGTGAGTACGATAATCCCACTTGCCACCACTTGTCCCACCACATAAATCAGACAAAACCAACAGAAGAAATAAGTGCACTGCACTTGAAAGAAATAAGAACTCACGTCAAAAAAAAGAGGAAAACCAAACATCTTCCCCTGGCTCCACACCTAAAAGCCACAGACATGAACATGACTTTAAAATACCAGAACCATTGCCAAAAGTGAACATTTTAATAACAGAATAATCAGAGAAGCCATCGAGATAGAAAAACGCCCACACAGCATGAACAAGCGAGATGATACCTCCCGCCTACCAGCCATTTGGAAACCCGCCTTATTGACAAACGACTCCCTAACACAAAAAATGATACCAGACCCACACTCACAAAAACCACACAGGATGTCACCACCACACATCCACGCAAAAAGCAAACCCAAAGCCACACCGATGATGAGGCACGACCACAAACCAGAAGCCAGACCAGAGCTGCATCATTAGCCACTTTAAAGCCCTCCAATCCATACATGAAGCAAACTGACACCCTCCATGAAAATGAGGCACGACCACAAACGCGAAGCCAAAAAATAGCAAGGCAGCCCAAAATCTTAAACCCCTCTGCAACTCAGACTAACCTGAGCACAACCAAACAGAACACTCCCCCAGCCAATCAGAGCACAGCCGACCCCCCAGCCAATCAGAGCACAGCCAACCCCCCAGCCAATCAGAGCACAGCCAAGCCCCTAACCAATCAGAACACACCTCCACCCAATCAGAACACAGCCAAGCTCCCACCCAATCAGTTCATACCCCCACTGGCAGTTAAAAGGAAGAAACAGCTAAGACCACACATTGCTGCTCGAAGCACGAAGCTGAAAACACCAGCCTGAAGATGACGAATGGGACTTCGTCGAAACGTCGCCAAGACACTTCCAATTTTACGTGGGAGAAAACCCGAACAACCAAAGACCTAATACAAACACCCGCGAAAACCTCAGAAAACATATATATATATATATATATATATATATATATATATATATATATATATATATATATATATATAATCTGATCAAGCAATTAACTACAAAATAATGATTACAAAATAACAAAACAATGATTACATGATGACACTATAAGTATCAATATAAAATGGTTACTATATATAAAATAAATGCTAATGTCAAACTTAAACATACTAAAATCATAAGCACAATAAAATCCCTTCACCTGATTTGTAAAAGCATTCAGGAGATGAACTCTGTAGGGTCTTTGAACCTCACCAAGAAAGCTTTAATATAAACCTGATTTTTTGGCCAACAAACAAATGGAGAATCCTATTAACATTTCCTGAGCCAAAATGGAAAGGCATCTTATTTCTCAATTTTTGTTCTTTTTGTAATCTAATTATGCAAAATATATGGTCAATATATATTCAAATCAAACAGGATTTAATGAATAAAGCATACTTTTCAGTGCAATCATTTTATTAAAAAAAATAAGTAGACAGTAATTTAGAGATGATGACATGCTTTAAAGTTGAAATTTCATACTAGAACATAGAGCTTACCAAAGACCAACTGGTAATGAACATGGGGCCCACACATATTTGGACACCCAGATCTCATGAATGGAATTCAAGACTTGGAGACATGCCCAGGTCATATTTCCCAGGAAAGTACAGAAAAGGTTTGCCACTGCTTTCCCTTGCAACTTTCCTTTAATATTCATTCTCTCTGTACAACCATTATTGCATGTTACTGTGTTTTCCCAAAAATAAGACCAGGTCTTATATTAATTTTTGCTCCAAAAGACGTATTAGGGCTTATTTTGCAGTTAGGGCATGTATTCGGGAAAATACGGTACTGGATGACATCTGGATGACAATCTTAACTGGGGCTTATTTTTGGGGTGGGGTTTGTATTATGAGCATCCTGAAAAATCACACTAGGTCTTATTTTCTGGTTAGATCTTATTTTTGGGGAAACATGGTAGAAGTTGTGGGAATGTTCATCTTTCTTGTTTTTGACAATAGACATAGACAGTGGGTATTGGGAATTCATTACTGTAATATCTGCTGATATTTTCAAATAATGTTCTGTCCTTGATTACATTTTAGAGATCCCCAAGAGATCAACATGAACAAATTACTGGAAATGACCAAAGGGTGTAGAGCAATTTCATCAGAATCATGATCTCATGGCAGTTTCCTTTCAAGAGATATTGTGAGGAGAAAGAAAAGCAAACAAAATGTTATAATCTCAATGGTAATATGCAGAATCCCTTAGTGGTGTGTATACATTCATAAATTATAATAATTCCAAGATATCTTTAGAGACTGTGTTATTATCCAAGATAATTTAGATGTCGTTTCTGATAATGAACTGCTGAGCTCCTCCCAAAACAATTCTTTAATTTTCTTTTACTAAAGACACTTTCTATGAAAGCTTTTGAAGATTCTTCCATGATAGACCTGCAAAATCCTAAGTAGATACATAATATCTGGCTTTCATAGAAAGCAAATGGATCATCTTCCATCTTGCTAAGCACTTAATAGAAGATATTAATATGCTGGGTTCTTTCTTGATGGATGAGGAACATCTCACTGGCTCAAGGTTGACTCAGTCTTCCATCCTTCCAAGGTCAGTAAAATGAGGACCCAAATTGTTGGGATCAATATCCTGAGTCTGTAAAGCACTTAGAAAGGGCTGTAAAGCACTGTAAAGCGGTATATAAGTCTAAGTGCTAAGTGCTATTGCTATCTTGGAAAAGAAGAATGATAAAGTTCTCTTCTCCCATTAGGGAAAAACTGCAACTCTGGAAATCTCTAGTGTCATCTGTAGTCCAAGAACTAAACATACCAAACTTTGTTCTCCCAGAGAAATAATGTGTATTATTACACCAGTTTAGTTTACTATAATAAGGTGATCAACTTTTTTACAATGAAAAGGAGGACACAAATAAATTGAAGAAAAAATATCTTAAATAAAAGAAACATTTTATTCATTGCAACAATAATACAGACAACTTGCATGTGCAAAGTTTGCCAGCCTCGGTGTTTGGCGCGCTCAGCAGCAATTCCTATTGGCTTTCAAAAGCCAATAGTGGCAGTAGCACAGCTCATGCAAAAGTTGAAAAAAAACCCATCAAAAAAAGGTGCCGGAATGCCGTTCTGAGCGTTCTATGAGGGGAAAAAAAAAGCCCTGCAGATTAGTCTTCAAATATTGAAAAGGAGGACATGAAGGAGGACACTTTTCGAGGGAGGACTGAACTTACAAAAGGAGGACTGTCCTCCCTAAAGGAGGAGGGTTGGTCACCTTAACTATAGGTATGTTATAACATGTTCTAACAATTTTATTCAAATTCAGAATAAACAATGTTGATGAATTTTGAATATTTCTATGATGGTTGCTTTTGGAAAGATTCTTTCCTGACCTCCCCTGAAAGGAAATCTCTGTATAATAGACAACAAAAGTCATAGAACATAGAATAATAGAGTTGGAAGGGACCTTGGAGGTCTAGTCCAAACCCCTGCTTGAGGTGGAAACCAGAGGTAGGCAACCTCGGCTCTTTTATGACTCATGGACTTCAACTCCCAGAATTCCTGGGAGTTTAAGTCCATGAGTCATAAAAGAGCTGAGGTTGCCTATCCCTGCCCTATAACCATTTCAGATAAATGCTTATTCAGTCTGTTTTTGAAAGCGTCCAGGGATGGAGTTTGAAATAACATTTCTTTTTCTTGAAAAATAATCCATGTTATTAGAGCAAAAAAAAAAAAAAAGTTTAATATGGGCAAGATCTAAGTTATTCAATAACTTGTAAATTCAAATAAAGATTGATGATGCAACAGATGTATTTTATTTATTTCCTTTTGGAGAGACTCTAAAAGAACATTTAGGAAATATTTGTTCTTAACCCTGAAAGTGTAAGGCATATTTGAAATTATTACTCAAGCAATCTTGAAAAAGAAATTTTCAGTAGCAAATGAAAAATAGAATTGTTTTGTATGTTTTCCAGCATGAGAAAATGTTTGCAGTTTCTGAAGTTAGGGCAATATTTGCACCTTTACCTAGTGGTAACAAATTCCTTGGATTTTTTATTTTTATTTTTAGTTTGCATTGCTACAGAACAAATCATGGAATAAATTAGTACTGATGACAAAACCTGCAAAAATCCATGTAGTCTAATTTAAGCGAATTGCCAAAAGTAGCAATTAATTGTTATTTCAGTTGTACTTTTGTACCTTTTATTAACCTGCCAGTACTGAGCTAACTGAAAAAAAAATATTGCCATGAGTTTAAATATTGTGAATGATGATAGATGTTAAAGTATATTCTGTCAACTAAGAAAAACTCACAATAACCACAATATATTGCAAAAAAAAAAAAACAACTAGACTTCACCCAAAATATATTTTTTAATTTTTTCTCTTTAAACCAAAGTTTAAACCAAATTCTCTTGTCTCAGATAAAGAAAAATGGATATGAAAATAGAAAAACAGGAATATTTCTACCTCCAGGAATATAAATGGATATGAAAATAGAGAAACAGGAATATTTCAACCTCCCACAATTAATTTTGTCATTCCATGCATCAAAGCATACACACCTTCAAAGGTTGATCTAACATTTCCTGGATTTTCATTACACTGTTATAAAAAATGGCTGTTAGTTATCATCTTCCTGTTTTTCTAAATTTATATACCATATATTCCGGCGTATAAGGCGACCCAGCGTATAAGACGACTCCCGACTTCGACGCCGAGTCACATGCCTAGAAAGTAGTTTATATGCCAGAAATGACCGTTATTTCCGGCGTATAAGACGACTCGGCGAATAAGATGACCCCCGACTTCGGCGCCAATTTCAATGCTCTCAAAAGTCGTCTTATATACTGGAAAGTATGGTATTTAAAAATGGTAATTGACCTAAAGGCTTTTCATTCTTTTTCCTTCGCCTCAAACAGGAGACCATGACAGAAGCCGAGAACTTCACGTCTGTCAAGGAATTCATCTTGCTGGGACTCACCACCCACAGAAATAGTCAGCTTCTCCTCTTTGGGGTCATTCTTATCATCTACTTGCTTACAGTTTTGGGAAACCTGCTGATCATTGTATTGGTGCGGACTGATAAAAAACTCCACACACCCATGTATTATTTTCTCTCACACCTTGCATGGGTAGATATGTGTTACGTAACCACCACCATGCCTCTCATGTTGACTCAGCTCCTGACTGGAGATGGAGCCATTTCTTTAGCATTCTGCATGGTCCAGATATACACTGCAGTGGCCTTAGGTGGTGTTGAGATTCTCCTGTTTGGGGTTATGGCCTATGACCGCTACCTGGCTATCTGCCGTCCTTTACTTTACCCTGTTCTCATGAACAAGAGCTGCCAATTGCAGTGCAGTTCAACATGCTGGATAACAGCTCCTCTGGTCTCTCTGATTTACATTGTCTGCCTTCTTTGCCAAAACTATTGTGGCCCCAATCAGATCAATAACTTCATATGTGAGATGCCAGTGGTGCTGAAACTTGCATGTGGTGATACCAAAATTGTTGAGGCCATTATTTTTGGTATAGGAGGATTTTTCCTTTTGCTTCCCCTTTCTATTGTATTGGCCTCCTATGGTTTTATTCTTCATTCTGTCTTACAAATGCAATCAAGTGGGCGGCGCAAAGCTTTCTCTACCTGTGGCTCCCATCTCCTTGTGATCTCCATGTTTTATGGTCCTTTGCTTTGGGTGTACATAATTCCAAAGACTAATTCAGCTACTGATTGTGATAAACAAATAGCAATCTTCTATGTTTTGATCACCCCTCTGCTCAACTCTATCATTTACACCCTGCGAAACAAAGACTTTCATAGGGCAGTAGCCAAGATCTTGTGAAGAAGGTCATACTTGAAGACATGTATTAGGTATTCTGTCATGGGTAATCTTTTTTTTTTAAAAAAAGCTGATGGTCCTTAAGTGGCTGATTACGAGTATTACTCCATAAATATTTGAAAGCCTTTGTTTCTTTAACCTTGAAATCAAGTCAAGTCTGTGGATGATCTATCTGTCCGAATAATCTTCATCTAGTAATTATGTTGAGATGTTGAAACCTTAAAACAAAGTTCTTTGTGGTCTAAAGAACATGAACCCCCACTGTTGTGTCCTGAGCCTGCAAATGCAATGGTCCCGGGCCTTGCAGAAGCTGCCTGGGACCAGACTGAGTGGCAGTGGCTTTGCGTGCATGCGCAAGGCGCGAAAAGTGCCTGACTATGTTGCCATTGTGTTCGGGGATCTGGGCGTATAAAAGGAGGCCTATGTGCCTTTGCTCGTTGTTGGAGTTTTGGCTGAAACCCAAAATAAAGAGTTGTTCTTTGCAAGATGTGTCTTCATCATTCGCCACTACTGAGAGGACCTAACACCCACAGTGTTGAAATATTGTACCAATCTTTCTAAATGCACTGGACAGATGGACAGAACATAGTATATTGCAATTCTCAATCTAGCCTATATTTGGGAAGAGTTATTTGTCTGATTAATCAGCCTAGTCTTTTCTACAGTTATGCAGTGTATATTGGAGGTGGTGAGCCTTTGAGAGCTATATGCAATGAAATTTCATTTAATGTATGCTGATTAGTGTACATTTAAAGTGATAATAAAGTTATTTTATTGAAAGAGGGAGAAATTAGATTTTACATTATAGGTATAGATATTCAAAGAAAGTAATGTTTAAATTTGCGTTTTTGGAGGGAGTTTATATAGAATGATGATTGTATTTAAATTTGTTTAGGTTTTAAAAGTGTTTTAAGTTTTTTTCTCAATTAAGCCTGTACTCAGCTCTGGGAAGTCAAGGGGAGGGTTTGGGAGGTTGGGTAGGAGGGGGGTGAGGTAGGGTTGGGGGGGGTATGGGAAGGGGATTTGTTTTTGTAAAATTTAAAAATTTTCAATAAAAAAAATAAAAAAAAAAATAAAGTTATTTTATTCTATTCTGTTCTGTCTCTCCATCTTCCATAATTACCCTTTCTTTTTAATTAATAGCCTCATGTTGGATGATTGTATTAATCTAGAATGTTTGTTTTCTAGAACCATGATGTCAAGCCTATGATTCTGTTGATACCTGCTCAATATGATCTCTTTGTAATGAGATGTTATAACTTCTAAAATCATTTTTTTGATTGAAGTAGAATAAACATGGTGACACATGCTTTCCTAGTTGTGGTTTGAAATGTTGTGGAAAGTTCCTATAATACCATACTTAAAGGTGGAGAAAATAGACCATATCTATAGTAAATGTCTGTGTACATATGAAGCTAAGGTATTCAAGTATGGTTATTCAGATCCACTCCCTAAATTTCAGGAAACAAGATGATGGTATGGCAGGTTGAAGTGCATGGCTGAAGGAAAAGAATCTGTGCCAAGATCATGGGTTTATAGGGAAGGGAAATGATTCTCCACGTGACCATAAGCATTTAGGGGGAAAGATGGAAAATGCTAAAAGGAGCTGATATAGTAAGGCATATATAACAGAATAACAGAATTGAAAGGAACCTCAGAAGTATAGTCCAACCCTCTGTTAAGGCAGGAAACTCTATATGATTTCAGATAAATGGTTGTCCAATCTCTTCTTAAAAACTTCCAGTGTTGGAGCACCCTCAACTTCTGGAGGCAAGTTGTTCCACTGATTAATTGTTCTAACTGTCTAGAAAGTTACCCTTAGTTCTAGATTGCTTCTCTTCTTGATTAGTTTCCATCCATTGCTTCTTGTCCTGCCTTCAGGTACTTTGGAAAATATGTTGACCCCCTCAGTGTATATATGTTTTGACTGTAGGATATAAATGTATATTTTGCTTTCAGGATATAAAAAGAGGCAGGAAAAGCTGAGGAAGAATGTGTGTGTTATAGTAAATGCTTCAGGTTATGTTGCTGGAGAGGTCATCAACTGGGAAAATGAAAGTGAAGCAAAATGGATCCTGCAACTCCAGCCCTGAGGCAAGGAGGAAGCCCAGAAAGAAAATTCTAGAAAGAATTATGAATATGTGAAAGACCAGGAGAATGGACCAAATCATGTTTATGAAAAGGGGAAAACACTGGAAGGAATGGTACAGTATGGCACCACCACCATCACCACCATCATCACTAATAACAACATGCCTCTAATGTTGACTTAGCTCCTGGCTAGAGAGGGAGGAATTTCTTTAGCATTCTGTATGATTCAAATGTATATTGCCTTGACCACAGCTGCAGTTGAGGTTCTCCTGTTGGTGGACATGGCCTATGATGGCTACTTGACCAACTGCCTTCCCTTTCTGTATCATGTTCTCACGGCAAGCACTGTCAGTTGCAGTTTACTTCAGCATACTGGATAACAGCTCCTCTATTCTGTGTGATTTGAATTATCTGCCTTGTTTGCCAAAACTTTTGTGGCCCCAAAGAAATCAATAACTTCATATGTAAGTGGTCAGTAGTATTGAAACTTGCATATGGTAATACAAGGATTGCCGAGGCCATTATTTTGGGTTCAGGAGCATTTGTTCTACTGGTACCCCTTTCTGTTATGTTGACCTCCTATCAGTTTATTATTCATTCTGTATTACAAATGAGATCAAATGTTGGGCAGCACAAAATGTTCTCTACATGTGGCTCCTATTCCTTGTGGTTTCCTTATTTGATGGGCCTACAATCTGGATGTACCTGTTTCCAAAGACTGATTCAGATCCTGATCATGAAATAACAAATTGCAGTCTTCTATGTTGTGATCAACCCTTTGCTCAACTCTATCATTTATATTCTAAACAACCAAGACATTCATTGGGCAATAACCAAGATGAATAGAATAGAATAGAATAGAATAGAATAGAACAGAAGTAGAGTAGAGTAGAGTAGAGTAGAGTAGAGTAGAATAGAATAGAGTAGAGTAGAGCAGAGTAGCGTAGAGTAGAGAATAGCTTGACTCCCTCTTCTCTCAAGGGTTGCCACAAATATCTTGTGAAGAAGAGTCTTTGAACAAGACCATTAGGATTTGTGGCATGGTTAATTGTTTAATTGGAGACATATTTCATATTTCTTAGGAAAAGCTAATAATTCTGTCTATACAATTGTTTTTTAATATTAGAAGTTCTGGGAATATTAATCTTTCTTGCCAAGAAAGGAGAATATTTGTAGTTCACAGTTGAAATGAGGGGTCCTTGGTCTCTCTGAGCTTGCTTGTTTTCTTGCAGACATTTAATTACCCAAACTAGGTTACAACATCAGAGCTAGAAAGCAGTGCAGTTTGCTGTCAGTTTATATTTTAGTGGCTTGCCCTGCCAATGTTGGTAGGGGTGATTTTAGAGATTCTTTGGACTGGTTCTTTGGATTGCAACAGCCACTGTGTAGAACAAATAGACAGAAGACTGGCAAAATGCATCCATGAACACCAGCTAGTAGTCAGAAGACATGATGAAAACTCTTTTATTCCACAACATATAGATAGAACCATAGTTTCATTTGGGAAAATGTGACTATCCTAGACCAAGCCAAGTCCAAAAACACCAGGGAATTTCCAGAAGCCTGGTACTCTGACAAATTAGCCATCAGTAAACACATAGACATTAACAACATCTATAGACTATGCAAAAGAGACAATCAACCAGCCAAAAAGAGAATAAAAAGACCCAAGAATTTCCCCACAAGCAATCAGCATCCAGATCAGCATAGATCAACTCCAAGGTTAACATCAAATCAACAATCAGGTAAACAATACCCCAATCAAGAAACTGCCAATGAATCCAAAAGCAAACAGCCCAACCAAAGAATCTCTAACCATCCCCACCAACATTGACAGTACAAGACATTAGAATATAAACTGATAGCAAACTGAATTTCTTACTAGCATGATCAGGGGAATAGTTTAATGAAAAGAAGGACAAGGGGTGACATGATAGCAGTGTTCCAACATCTCAGGGGCTGCCCCAAAGAAGAGGGAGTCAAGCTATTCTCCAAAGCACCCGAAGGCAGGATAAGAAGCAATGGATGGAAATTAAGGAGAGAAGCGACCTAGAGCTAAGAAGACATTTCCTAACAGTTAGAACAATTAATCAGTGGAACAACTTGCCTCCAGAAGTTGTGAATGCTCCAAAAGTAGAGGTTTTTAAGAGGAGATTGGACAACCATTTGTCTGAAACGGTGTAGGGCAGTGATGGCGAACCTTTTAGAGACCAAGTGCCAAAAAAACTGGCCCCGCCCCTGCCTCCCCCTGCCCCGCCCCCATCCCGCCTGCCCGCAGGGCCACTCACTACCTCCAGGGCCCACCGCAGATCACCCAGGCAGCCCAGCAGTGCTATGGCGGCTACGCCCTCTGCCCGCACTCTGCAGCATCAACTGTGCACGATGAGGCGTGAGGGCAGAGTCTTGTCTGTGCTGCCTGGCTGCCATGTCCTTGGCTGTGCTGGTCCGGGTGGCAACTCTTCTTCAGGTGGGCTGCTGGAGAGGAGGGGGTCGCGGGGGGAGGAAAGGCTGGGGCAACGGCATGTGTGCCCACAGAGAGGGCTCCGAGTGCCGCCTCTGGCACGCATGCCATAGGTTTGCCACCACTAGTGTAGGGTTTCCTGCCTAAGTGGGGGTTGGACTAGAAGACCTCCAAGGTCCCTTCCAACTCTGATATTCTATTCTATTCTATTCTATTCTATTCTATTCTATTCTATTCTATTCTATTCTATTCTATTCTATTCTATTCTAGTTCTGTTCTATTCTAGTTCTGTTCTGTTCTATCCTGTTCCATCCCATCCCATCCCATCCCATCCCATTCCATCCCAGTCCATTGATGATATTAGCTAGTTAGGATAATGCCTGCAAGAAAACAACAAATTTCAGAGAGCACCACGGACCCCCACCCTAATTTTTCTTAGTTTTGAAAATGGACATAGGCAGAGAGTGTTGGCTACTCACTATTTTACCTCTGTTAATATATTTAAATAATGTTCTGTCCTTCATTAGATTTTTAAGAAACCAAAGAGGTCAAGATGAAGAGCAACAAAGCAGCAAGAGGTGGAAATAACCAAAGGGACAAGAGAAATTTTATTGGGATTAAGATCTCAGTCCAATTTTCTTTCAACATTAATTTTGAAGGGAAAGAAAAGCAAAGAAAGTTTTGTATTCTCAATAGTATTATGAAGAATCCCTTATTGATCTGTATGTGCTCATAAATTGTAAATAATTACAAGACATCTTCAGAGAGCATATTATTCTCCTATGCGCATTTAGATCTTATTAGTGGTCATGAATAAGTTGAGCTCCTGCCAAAAGACCCATTTCAGTTTTTACTAAGAAACGTTCTGTGACAGTTTGTGTGGGGTCTTCCATGAGAGAACTACCAATTCCAGAATAGATGCACATTATCTGGTTTTCATAGAAAGTAAATGAATCATCTTATTGGGCACTTTAGTAGAAAATGATAACACTCTTGGCTCTTTTTTGATGGATGAGTGACATCTTATGAAGAAGAAAGGTAAAATTCTCTTCTGCCATTGGACAAAACAGATAATCTGCAGCTCTGGAAATTCCTGGTTATTTCTAGTCCAAGTACTAACTATACCCAACTTTGCTTGCTTCCTAGCCCAAAGAAGGTAATGTGGATCTGATGTGATTATTTTTGTTTTCTTAGAAAATTAATCAGTGTCAGCAGACTAGATTAAGTTTAATATGGGTATGTTCTAACATCTTTATTCAAATACAAAATAGACATTGTTAAAGCAATGTGAGTATTTCTATGATGTTTGTTTTTTGAAAAATTCTTTCCTGATCTTCCCTGAACAGAAGTCCCTTTATAAACTCATTAAAAGATTCTGCTGAGATGTCCTTTGTTTTCCTATAAAAACGATCTGTGTTACTAGAATCAAGAAAGTTTAATGTGTGCCTGTTCTAACTTGTTTTGTAATTTGAATTTAATTGAAATAAATGTTAATGAAGCAAACACAGGTATTTATTTTATTTTATTTTATTTTGGAAAGATCCTCGAACTTTTCTTCTCACAAGTATTACTTCTTAAACTGTTACTGAAAATATATATTATGTTCAAGAGTACTATTTAAGCAATCTTGAAATAAAATCCTTCAAGAAACTTACAACTATATTTCTTTATTTTGGTGCCTAGCCATGAGTTCCAGTCATGGATAGAAGTGCCTTACGTATATTTTCCAGCATGGGAAAATGTTTGCAGTTGCTGAAGCTCTGACAATTTTTGCACAATTACCAAATTGTACCAAATATTTTCAATCTTTTTAGTCCACAGTGCTACAGAAAAAAATAACTTAATAAATTACTAATCAAGCCTCCAAAAATTCATAAAGTCTAATTTCAGTCAATTGCTAAAAGTAGCTAAATAATCAAAGTCAATTGTTCCTGTTTTATTCGCTTTGTTAGTTTGTCAGGACTGCAATAACTGAAAAAAGTCGTAACGTGAGATGAAATATTTAGATTTTCTGAAGAGAACACCCCCCCCCGCACATACATAATAGCTATAGTTGGCAAAAAGACAGTCTTCACCCCAAGTAAGGTATTTTGATTCTTTAGAGTCTCATTAAAATGATATCAAGAGCAAATTTCTCTTGTTTCAAATATAGGAAAACTGATAGGAAAAAAAGAAGACAAGGAATATTTTTTTACTTGATAGTAATTTTGATGTTACAATTCTATATAGAACAGAAAAGAGTAGAGCAGAACAGGACAGAACACAACACAATATAATACAATACAGCACAATAAAAGAGCTGGAAGAGATCTTGCAGGTCTTCTAGTCCAGTGTTTCCCAAACTTGACAATTTTAAGGCATGTGGACTTCAGCTCCCAGAATTCCACAGCCAGCGTTGCTGGCTGTGGAATTCTGGAAGTTGAAGTCCACATGCCTTAAAATTGTCAAGTTTGGGAAACACTGTTCTAGTCCAACCCCCTGCTCAGGCAGGAAACCCTATGTTCCCTGCATCAAAGCCCACTTATCTTCAAAGGTTGATAATATGATTTCTTGGAATAATTCCTGATATGAGGAATGGTTATTGGTTGGCATGGCTGTGTTTTGATGTAATCCCATATTTAAAAAATGATAGTCAGTCTAATGGTCACTCATTCTTTTTCCTTCTCCTCAGACATGAGACCATGACAGAAGCCGAGAACTTCACCTCTGTCAAGGAATTCATCCTGCTGGGACTCACCACCCACAGAAGAATCCAGCTTCTCCTCTTTGGGGTGATTCTTATCATCTACTTGCTTACAGTATTGGGGAACCTGCTGATCATCCTATTGGTGCAGGTTGATGCAAGACTCCACACACCCATGTATTATTTTCTTTCCCAACTTGCAGGGGTAGACATCTGCTATGTTACCAGCACCATGCCTCTCATGATGACTCAGCTCCTGGCTGATGATGGAACCATTTCTTTCACATTCTGCATGACCCAGATGTACATTGCATTGGCCACAGCTGCTATTGAGATTTTCCTGTTAGCGGTTATGGCCTATGACCGCTACCTGGCCATCTGCCGTCCCTTACTTTACCCTGTTCTCATGGGCAAGCACTGCCAATTGCAGTTCACTTTAGCATGCTGGATCATAGCTCCTCTGATCTGTGTGGTTTGTATTGTCTGCCTTGTTTGTCAAAACTATTGTGGCCCCAATCAGATCAATCACTTCATATGTGAGTTGCCAGTGGTGCTGAAACTTGCATGTGGTGATACAAGTATTACTGAGGACATTATTTTTGGTTTAGGCTCATGTGTCCTTCTGGTTCCCCTTTGTTTCATATTGACCTCCTATGGATTTATTCTTTATTCTGTGTCAGAAATGAAATCAAGTGTGGGGAGGCAGAAGGCTTTCTCTACCTGTGTCTCCCATCTCCTTGTGGTCTCCTTATTTTATGGCCCTTCCATCTGCATGTATCTGCTTCCAAAGACCGATGCAGCGCCTAATCGTGATAAACAAATTGCAGTCTTCTATGTTGTGATCACTCCTCTGCTCAACTCTATCATTTATACCCTGCGAAACAAGGACATTCATAGGGCAGCAGCCAAAATCCTGTGAAGAAAGACCTTTGAACAAAACTATTAGGGTTTGTGTCATGATTAATCAATCAACTCACGGGTTCTCTGCATGATATCTCTCTCAGCCTAGTCTTTATTCAATAATTGTGTTCAGATGTTAAAACATCAAAGCCTAGTTCTTATGAAATATGGAATAGCTGTTCTTGTGTCTGGTTGTGGTGTGAATTAATCAACTTTTTTTTTTTCTTTCTTTCTTTCTTTCTTTCTTTCTTTCTTTCTTTCTTTCTTTCTTTCTTTCTTTTTTAAAAAAAGCCCTAATTATCTAACCGTAGTTGATTGTGAGTATTGCTCCAGATCGTCAGATCTCAATGGAGCTGTACTGTCCATGCTAGCTTCATATGAAACTGTGTCATTGAGCGATGTCATTGAAGGTTTAGAAGTAGGGTGTACTTTTAAAAAGTATAGTGACAGAGCATAGAATATAGCTTATAGCTGAATGCTTTCCATGCAACAGAACAGCATGTATTAGAATGACTCTCAACTTGCATCCATCCTGGATTAATTCTTCAGATGTTTTCTTGAACCTGGCAGCTTCATTTCCAGAAAAGGAAGGAAGAAGTTCAGAAAACAAGGGTACTCTTTTTAAAATCATTTTTTATTAAAGAAAATGTTTACAAGTAAAAATAACATAAATTAAAAAAAATTAGAAAATTGATAAGCAAATAGAAAAATATTAAAAAAAGAAAAAGAAAGTAAAAAGATATAAAGAAGTGGCTTCTGATATCATATTTATGAACATACTGATACTGGATAGTGGAGTTGTGTGAGAACAAGTCTTTTTTTAAATCACCAAGAGAATAAGGAGAACACCCAGGCCTTCCATTATCAGCCACTGAGAGAAAGGGGGGGGGGGCGGCGGAAATTGAGGGAAATAGAGTTGAGGTTGAGAACAGATAGATGATCTGTGTCATTTTCTAGATGTTCACAGACTGACCTTATCATATCTTCCATGATTTTTCTCAAGTGTCAGTGACAGTTGGCCAGTAGGAATCCCCCTGTCCAGAAAACACATTTGAAATTTGGGGGTGTGGTACAATAAATTCAGCAGTTGTGACTCTGAGTTGAGTCAAGGGTGGCATTGCCACAGTGGCATTGTTAAACATGCAAAACATTGTGTAACTCGAATGGTGTTGGAATATTAGAGAAATATTGTTTTGAATGTAAGATTCATGAGTTCTAATTTTTGGATCATGCGTCTTTTTGATTTTAGAAAAAACAACCTGCCCAGAATCATTGATTGAGTTAAAGATTAATTACAAGTTGGCACACTACTATGCACTCCACAACGCTCCAAGGGGAAGTAACTCTATAGATACCATACTACCGTATTTTTTGGCATATAAGGCGACTCGGCGTATAAGACGACCCCCCGACTTCGGTGCCGATTTCCACGCTTTAGAAAGTCGTCTTATATACCGGAAAATACAGTAACTATGTTAGTTTCCTTTTAAAAGATGTTACTGAAATTTAGAACTGAAGAATTCTGGGAGTTGAAATCCACATATTTTGAAATCTCCAAAGTTGAAAAACTCGGGTTTAGAAGGAAGTTGTATGCATGTACCTTTTCAAACACACAGTTGGAGCATAAAGAGCTCATAGTTGAGCCCTTTTCCAGGCAAGTCAAATTCTAGAACATTGTGTAATATTATCATCCTCTAGGTGTCTATCTAGTGGAATGTGCAAAAATTCTTAGTATATTCTTTACTTAAATTAGGGCCTTAGAAGGACTTCCTTTTTTTTCTCTTGTTTTAAGCAAAATTGATCTGCTTGGTCAAAACATCTTTTCTTGCTCTCAGGCAAAAAAAACCCAAAACGTTAATATGGGCATGTTCCAGCTAAAACGTTTTCTAATCTCAAATGGTGTCAACACAGATATACTGTCAGAGTTGACTTCTAGAAAGGCCCAGACTCATATTGTGTCTCTATAACTTAAACCTCTTAACTGCTCTTATTAACCTAATGCACAAACGAGATTTTTCACAAAGACAAGCTCAAGGGAACTTGGCATTTCTTCATTGTGGACGAAATGTTTGGCTCCTTTAGCAGAGAGGTGCAGTTCTTATACAAAGTCCAAAGCCCCTTTTTTGTTCCTTAAGCCTAACCCCCATGTATACTTTTTTGAACAAGATGTCCTTTATGACCCAAAGGACCAGGAACTTACAAAAGAAATCAGCTGTTCTTTGACATGACTAGTTCACATTAAGCTGGTCACTTAAGCTATTTTTATTCTTAGGTTGTTACTAACCAAAGTAAATGGCACATTAGACACGCCTTGAGTGAAAGTTTCTAGAATAATTGGGATGTACTGAGAAAAAACATTAAGCACAATCACTTACTGTACATACAAGAGGAAAATTGATTCTCAGCTCCTTTAAAGTCCCTTATCAGACCAACAATCAAGAAGTGAACAATACTCCAATCAAGAAACAGCCAAAGAAGCCAACACTAAACAGACCCTCTAAGACCACCCCAACACTGATAGGCCTGGACACTAGAATATAAACTGACAACAAACCACACTCCTTACTAGCACTGTTGATGTTACCTAGTTTGGGTAATGAAATGTCTGCAAGAAAACCAAGGTCAGACAGCACCAAGGATATATCCCCCCCATCTTTCTTGGTTTTGAAAATGGACATAGACAGAGAGTTTTGGCTATTCATTATTTTATCTCTGTTGATATATTTAAACAATCTCCTGTCCTTGATTAGATTTTTAAGAAACCCAAGATGAAGAGCAACAAAGTAGCAAGAGGTGGAAATAACCAAAGGGACAAGAGAAATTTTATTGGGATCAAGATCTCAGACCAATTTTCTTTCAACATTAATTTTGAAGAGAAAGAAAAGCAAAGAAAGTTTTGTATTCTCCATAGCATTATGCAGAATCCCTTATTGATCTGTATGTGCTCATAAATTGTAAATAATTACAAGACATCTTCAAAGAGCATATTATTCCCCTATGTGCATTTAGATCTTATTAGTGGTCATGAATAAGTTGAGCTCCTGCCAAAAGAACCATTTCAGTTTTTATTAAGAAACGTTCTGTGACAGTTTGTGTGAGGTCTTCCATGAGAGAACTACCAATTCCAGAATAGATGCACAATATCTGGTTTTCATAGAAAGTAAATGAATCATCTTATTGGGCACTTTAGTAGAAAATGATAACACTCTTGGCTCTTTTTTGATGGATGAGGGACATCTTATGAAGAAGAAAGGTAAAATTCTCTTCTGCCATTGGACAAAACAGATAATCTGCAGCTCTGGAAATTCCTGGTTATTTCTAGTCCAAGTACTAACTATACCCAACTTTGCTTGATTCCTAGCCCAAAGAAGGTAATGTGGATCTGATGTGATCATTTTTGTTTTCTTAGAAAATTAATCAGTGTCAGCAGACTAGATTAAGTTTAATACAGATATGTTCTAACATCTTTATTCAAATACAAAATAGACATTGTTAAAGCAATGTGAGTATTTCTATGATGTTTGTTTTTTGAAAAATTCTTTCCTGATCTTCCCTGAACAGAAGTCCCTTTATAAACTCATGAAAAGATTCTGCTGAGATATCCTTTGTTTTCCTATAAAAACAATCTGTGTTACTAGAATCAAGGAAGTTTAATGTGTGCATGTTCTAACTTATTTTGTAATTTGAATTTAATTGAAATAAAGGTTAATGAAGCAAACACAGATATTTATTTTATTTTATTTTGGAAAGATCCTCGAACTTTTCTTCTCACAAGTATTACTTCTTAAACTGTTACTGAAAATATATATTATATTTAACAGTACTATTTAAGCAATTTTGAAATAAAATCCTTCAAGAAACTCACAACTATATTCCTTTATTTTGGTGCCCAGCCATGAGTTCTAGTCATGGATAGAAGTGCCTTACGTATATTTTCCAGCATGGGAAAATATTTGCAGTTTGCAATTTCTGAAGCTCGGGAAACCTTTGCAATATTACTATTAAATCTGCAAACTTTCATAACGTCTAAGTCAATTGTTCCTGTTTTGTTCGCCTTCTTAGTCTCTTAGGACTGCAGTAACTGAAAAAATTCTTAACATGAGGTCAAATATTTAGATTTTTCTGAGAGGAAAAATCCCCCACATACATAATAACTACAGTTGACAAGTAAACAAACTTCACCCCAAATAAGTGATATACATTCTTTAGATTCTCTTTAAACTAATATCTAAGCAAATTTGTCTTGTTTCAAATATAGGAATAGTGATAGGAAAAAACAAGACCAGGAATATTTTTTATTTGATAGTAATTTTGATGTTCCCTGCATCAAAGCACACTTATCTTCAAATGTTGATAATATGATTTCTTGTAATAATTCCTGATATGAGGAATGGCCATTGGTTATCATGGCTGTGTTTTGATGTAATCCCATATTTAAAAAATGATAGTCAGTTTAATGGCCGCTCATTCTTTTCTCCTTCTTCTCAGACAAGAGACCATGATAGAAGCCGAGAACTTCACCTCTGTCAAGGAATTCATCCTGCTGGGACTCACCACCCACAGAAAAATCCAGCTTCTCCTCTTTGGGGCGGTTCTTATCATCTACTTGCTTACAGTATTGGGGAACCTGCTGATCATCGTATTGGTGCAGGTTGATGCAAGACTCGACACACCCATGTATTATTTTCTTTCCCAACTTGCAGGGGTAGACATCTGCTATGTTACCAGCACCATGCCTCTCATGATGACTCAGCTCCTGGCTGATGATGGAACCATTTCTTTCACATCCTGTGTGACCCAGATGTACATTGCATTGGCCACAGCTGTTATTGAGGTTTTCCTGTTAGCAGTTATGGCCTATGACCGCTACCTGGCCATCTGCCGTCCCTTACTTTACCCTGTTCTCATGGGCAAGCACTGCCAATTGCAGTTCACTTTAGCATGCTGGATCATAGGTCCTCTGATCTGTGTGGTTTGCATTGTCTGCCTTGTTTGTCAAAAGTTTTGTGGCCCCAATCAGATCAATCACTTCATATGTGAGTTACCAGTGGTGCTGAAACTTGCATGTGGGGATACAAGTATTACTGAGGACATTATTTTTGGTATAGGCTCATGTGTCCTTCTGGTTCCCCTTTGTTTCATATTGACCTCCTATGGATTTATTCTTTATTCTGTGTCAGAAATGAAATCAAGTGTGGGGAGGCAGAAGGCTTTCTCTACCTGTGTCTCCCATCTCCTTGTGGTCTCCTTGTTTTATGGCCCTTCCATCTGTGTGTATCTGCTTCCAAAGACTGATACAGTGCCTGATCGTGATAAACAAATTGCAGTCTTCTATGTTGTGATCACTCCTCTGCTCAACTCTATCATTTATACCCTGCGAAACAAGGATATTCATAGGGCAGCAGCCAAGATCCTGTGAAGAAGGACCTTTGAACAAAGTTATTACAGTTTGTGTCATGATTAATCAACTGTTTTTAAAAAGCCCTGATGGTCTAATTTAGTGATGGCGAACCTTTTACAGACCAAGTGCCCAAAAACTGGCCCCGCCCTGCTCCACCCCCTGCCCTGCCCCACCCCACCTGCCCGCAGTGCCACTCACCCCCTCCAGGGCCCGCTGCAGATCGCCCAGGCAGCCCAGAAGTGCCATGGCAGCCACACCCCCTCCCCGCGCCCTGCAGCATCAACTGTCATGATGGGGCGTGAGGGCAGAGTCTTGTCTACACTGCCTGGCTGCCATGTCCTTGGCTGTGCTGCTCCACAAGGGCCACGCTTGGGGGTGACTCTCCTCCAGGGGGCTGCTGGTGAGGGGGTTGCAGGGGGAGGCAAGGCTGGGGCAACAGCACGTGTGCCCACAGAGAGAGGCCCAAGTGCCCCCTCTGGCACCAGTGCCATAGGTTCACCACCATTGGTCTAATTGGTTGATTGTGAATATTGATCCACAATAATTTGAAAGTCTGGGTTTGTCAACCTTGAAATCATCTCATGGTTCTGTGCATGATATTTCTCTCAGCCTATTCTTTATTCAGTAACTGTGTTGAGATGTTAAAATTTCAAAGGCTAGTTCTTATGAAATTTGGAATATTCTGCTCTTGTGTCTACTTTCCTGGTTGTGGTGTGAAAAGTTTTAGAAAGTATTGCACTTTAAACTGTAGAGGAGCAACTCTGATACAAATTGAACCACATATATTATAAAAAGGAATTTATGGGTTTCAGGTAGGTAAGATTTAACCTATTCCCTAGATTCTTTATTTTTGGTATATTTTTTATAAAACCATATTGCACCCAAAGAAACAATATCATTTTCTAGATATTCATAGACTGATTATATAATCTGTCCTACAATTTTTACTGGTGTTGTTGTCCTATAATTTCTACCGGTGTGTTGTTGACCAGAATGAGTCTATGTTTCTATCCAACACTTTAGAAAACAGAGAAAATATGCTCTGGAATACGCTGCAATAAAATGAACAAACTAAGGAGAAATTTCTTGACAGTTAGAATAATTTATCAGTGGAATGACTTGCATACAGAGGTTGTGTGTGCTCCAGACCTGGAGGTTTTTAAGAAGAGATTGGACAACCACTAGTCAGAAATGATATAGGGCAGGAGTGTCATCAGGAAATCGTGCCCACCCCATTGCCGGCAATGGAGAAAAAGCTCCAATATGTTGCACGACGTCATGTGATGTCATGAGTTTGACATGTCTGATATAGGGTTTCCTGCCTGAGCAGAGGATTGGACTAGCAGACCTTCAAGGTCCCTTTCAACTCTGTTATTCTGTTCTGTTACAATTCAATAAAATTTTATTTTCAGTAACATTAATAGGTTTGCATTGTGAGATCTTCCAAGAACATATAGTGTTGAAATATTGTAGAAATCTTCTGAATGTACTCTAACGATAAACAAAACACTGCATATGGCAATTCCTGCTCAATTTAGCACATACAGTATTGGGGGAAGATATATTGGTCTGAATGTTGTACTCTAAATTCAGGATAATATGGCTTTTTAAAATTAAACAACAAAGTGTAATAAAAGTTGAAGCATTATCTTCTTGAATTTTTTTTTCTTTAAAAGCAGATGTGAAATTGATATAAATGTAACATGTGGATGTGCCTGCTGCATATTGCTCTATATCATTCAGTTCTCTAAGTGGTAAGAATCTTTGAAATGATATTTCTAAAGCCTTTAAAAACATTTCACACTTAAAAATTGAAGGGGAACAAGTCTGATACCTGAATGACTGTAGGTAGAAATGACATTATGGGATTCAGGCAGGGCAGATGCAATCTGTCAGACTCCAAAAATGAAGAAAGATATGCTGAGTTTATGGATAGTTCCCTTTATTGTTCCTTAAACAAACCTTATGCTGAGTCTTGATCCTCTGGAAGGCACACCCTGCCTTTTGGGAATTCAGACTGCGTTCCAAAAAAAAGTATATTATATTGGTTCCAGGAAACAGGATTATTCTTATATATTAAATCCATGTCTCTCTCACCCTCCTCCCAAGTTATGTCATTTCCAGGTATTCACAGGGTGACCATATAATGTCCTATAATTATGCCTGACATCTTTGGTAGTTGAACAGAATGAGTCAAAATTTTTAGTCTACACTTCAGAAAAAAGAGAAAATATACCATATTTCCGGTGTATAAGACGACTTTCTAAAGCATGCAAATCGGCTCTGAAGTCGGGGGTCATCTTATACACCAAGTCGTCTAATAGGCCGGAAAATACGGTACTCTGAAATATGCTGCAGTTTAAATCAATGAGATATTCTGGAATAGGCTTATGCTGCCATAAAATTGACAAAATTTTATTTTCAATATAGATTCATAGGAATGCATTGTAAGGTCTTCCAAAGAATATTTAATGACCCATAGTGTTGAAATATTGTAGATAGCTGTCTGAGTGTACTGGAATGATGGACAAAACACAGTCTATGTCAATTCCTTCTTAATCTAACATATATTTGGGGGAAATTATTGATTTGAATGTTGGCATCTATGAATTTCAATTCAGGACCATACCAGTTTTTTGAATAAACAACACAGTGAACTAAAAGCATACTATTGACTTGATTTTTCCTTCTTTAAAAGCACATATGAAATAAATATAAATTCAATGCATGGGTGTACTTGCTGTGTGTTTTTCTATACATTTCAATTTACCAAGCAATAGAAACTTTTGAAATAATGTTGCCTGACATTTTAAAGCAGGGGCCCACAAAGTTTTTAGCTTATTGACCCTTTCATGAGGTTTTAGATAGTTCATCAACCCACATTTATTATATGAAACTATTTTAATAAATACTACATTAACTAATAGTACTACTACTACTATTTAATACCACTTTATAATGCCTTGGTAAAGCCACACTTGGAATACTGCATCCAGTTTTGGTCACACAATGTAAGAAAGATGTTGAGACTCTAGAAAGAGTACAGAGAAGAGCAACAAAGATAATCAGAGGACTGGAGGCTAAAACATATAAAGAACAGTAGCTGGAACTGGGTATGAAATAATGGAATACTGCAACCAATTTTGGTCACCACAGTACAAAAAAGATGTTGAGACTTTGGAAAAAGTTCAGAAAAGAGCAACTAAAATGATCAAAGGCCTGGAGACTAAAACATATGAAGAATGGCTGCAGAACTTGGGTTTGGCTAGTCTGAAGAAAAGAAGAAACGGGGGCAACATGATAGCAGTATTCCAGTATTTGAGGGGCTGCCATGAAGAAGAGGGTGTCAAACTATTCTCCAAAGCACCAGAGGGCAGGACATTCTATTCTATTCTATTCTATTCTATTCTATTCTATTCTATTCTATTCTATTCTATTCTATTCTATTCCATTCCATTCCATTCCATTCCATTCCATTCCATTCCATTCCATTCCATTCCATTCCATTCCATTCTATTCTATTCTATTCTATTCTATTCTATTCTATTCTATTCTATTCTATTCTATTCTGTCTAGTTTAATGAAGAGAAAGACTAGGGGTGATATGATAGCAGTGTTCCAATATCTCAGGGGTTGCCACAAAGAAGAGGGAGTCAATCTATTCTCCAAAGCACCAGAGGGCAGGATTCTATTCTATTCTATTCTATTCTATTCTATTCTATTCTATTCTATTCTATTCTATTCTATTCTATTCTATTCTATTCTATTCTATTCTATTCTATTCTATTCTATTCCATTCCATTCCATTCCATTCCATTCCATTCTATTCTATTCTATTCTATTCTATTCTATTCTATTCTATTCTATTCTATTCTCTCTAGTTTAATGAAGAGAAAGATTAGGGGTGATATGATAGCAGTGTTCCAATATCTCAGGGGTTGCCACAAAGAAGAGGGAGTCAATCTATTCTCCAAAGTATCTGAAGGCAGGACAAGAAGCAATGGATGGAAACTAATCAAAGAGAGAAGCAACCTAGAACTAGGGAGAAATTTTCTGACAGTTAGAACAATTAATCAATGGAACAACCTGCCTCCAGAAGTTGTGAATGCTCCAACACTGGAAGTTTTTAAGAAGAGAATGGACAGCCATTTGTCTGAAATGATATAGGGTTTCCTGCCTGAGCAGGGGGTGGGACTAGAAAACCTCCAAGTCCCTTCCAACTCTATTATTATTATTATTATTATTATTATTATTATTATTATTATTATTATTATTACTACTACTACTACTATTACTACAACTACTACCATCATCATCATCATCATCATCATCAGCAGCAGCAGCAGCAGCAGCAGCAACAGTTAATGAAAATTCCCCTTGATCTTTGCAGATCAATACTGATGACTATGGGGAAACCTTGTTTGAAAGTATATGTTAGTTTTTTGCAGTATCTAGACCAGGCATGTTAAACTGCCGGCCTGCAGGCCAGATGTGTCACGCCGAAATCGCACCCACCCCATTGCCAGCAATGGGGAAAAAGTCCCGATACGTCGCTCAACATCACATGATGTCACGAGTTTAACATGCCTGATCTAAACCCCAGGCTAGGTCCAGAAGCATAAGATGCTTACCTGGGAAAATCCCTGCGGAACTTGATTATGGAATGTAGGACCCTGTATTATGTTAAATACACACACAGAGAGACGTGTGTGTGTGTGTGTGTGTGTGTGTGTGTGTGTGTATGAAATTGTTCTATATGATATATGAAATTGTTGTAAGTATGATGTGTAGGTTTGCTTATTATAACATAACATTGACAGCAATCCAGATGGTCAGATCTCAATAGATCTGTACTATCCATGCTAGTTTCATATGAAACAAAGTCATTGAAGGTTTAGAAGTAGGGTTTACATTTAAAAAGTATAGCGATAGAGTATAGAGTACAGCTCATAGCTGAATACTTTCCATGCAACACAACAGCATGTTGAACATTGTGTATTAAAATGATTCTCAACTTGCATCCATCCTGGATTAATTCTTCAGATGTTTTCTTGAACCTGGCAGCTTCATTTCCAGAGAAGGAAGAAAGAAGTTCAGAAAACAAGGGTACCCTTTTTAAAATTAATTTTTTATGAAATAAATGTTTTACAAAGTTAAAAACATCATAAAGTAAAAAGAAAATAGAAAAAAGTGATAAGCAAATAGAAAAAAAATTAAAAAAGAAAAAGAAAGAAAAAAGATATAAAGACATGGCTTCTGATATTCTGAGCAGGGGGTTGGACTAGAAGACCTCCAAGGTCCCTTCCAACATCATTATGATTATCATTATCATAAAATGGAAAAGTATCTCAATTAAACTTTTTGTAATTTTTGGTATCTAACTATGTAAAATATAGTGGCCAATATATATGTTCAAATCCAAAAGCACTATGGCTTTATATAATTAATAATGTATCAGTTGTATATTCAGTGAGAACAGCTAATGAAGAAAACTAAGCAGAAAGAAATTTAAAAATGGGCACTTGCTTCCACATCGAAACTCCAGTATTGTGTCATATAGTTTACATAAGCTCAGCTTGTGATAAACATGGGGACACACTTGGACACACATATCTCACGAGTTGAATTCAAGACCTGGAGACATGTCCATATCATTTTTCTTAGGAAATGTACAGAAATGGTTTGCACTGCCACTGTCTGAGAGTTCTTTTAATAATCACTTTATCTATAAATTGTTTTTGAATGTTAGAAGTCTGGAAATATTAATCTTTCTTGTTTTTTTTAAAAAAATGGTCAGAGACTGAGTGATGGGTTTTCATTATTTTACCTCTGTCGATATCTTCAAACAATGGTCTGTCCTTGAATACAGTTTTGAACTATGCAAGAAGTCAAGATTAAAAGAAACACAAAAAATTAATGTATTGCAATAGGCTAAGGAGACCTGAGCAATTTCATTCAGATTATGACCTCCTACCAATTTCCTTTCAATAGAGATTTTGAGGAGAAAATGAAGCAAAGTTTTGTATTCCCAATGATAATATGCAGAATCCCTCTATTCCCTTGGTGATGTTTATGTGCTCATAAATTATAAATATCTTCAGATAGCACATTATTCTTCCATCAGAATTTAGATGTTATTCTTAGTGTGAAGTGACAGGTTGCCAAGCTCCTGCGAAGAATATTTTATTTTTTTTATTAAGACAACTTCCGTGACAATTCATATATGCTTTTCCATGACAGAGACCTAATCTCTGTCCCCAATAGATGTTCAATATCTGGCTTCAATAGAAAGCAAGTGGATCATCTTCCATCATGTTGGTTACCTTAGTAGAAGCTGATCACATGATTAGCTCTTTCATGAAGGCTGAGGAACATCCTGGAAAAGAAGAAAGGTAATTTTATATTCGATCACTGGAAAAAAAAGATAATCCTGAAAACTGGAAATCCCTGGTCATCTCTATTCCAAGTATAACCATATCCAACTTTGTTTATCTTCCAGATCCAAAGAAGATCATCTAGATGCAGAATCTGATGAGATAATCCTTGTTCCCCTAGAAAAATAATCTTTGTTCTAGACCAGAAAAAGCTTAATATGGGCATGTAGTAACTTGTTTTCTAATTTGAATAAATTCAAAATATATCAGTGAAGTAACAGGTCTTTTCCTTTTGAAAAGACTCTAGAATAACATTTCAGGAAGTATTTTTTCTTAATAAGTTCTATTAAGTTACTAATAAATTACTATTCTAGCAATCTTGAAGCAGAATCCTTTAAGAAACTCACCACTTTATTTTGGTTCCCAACCTTGAGGAGGAAACCAACAACAGAATTACCTTACGTGTAATTTATAGCATGGGAAAATATTTGCAGTTTCTGAAGCTAAAGAAATATTTGCACAATTATTTGATTGTAAACAATTCCTTTGATATTTTTTAGTTTGCATTGCTTGTTATTGTTGTTGTTAATTGCAAAGTCATGTCCGACCCCATGGACAATGTTCCTCCAGGTCTTCCTGTCCTTTACCATCTTCTGGAGTCCATTTAAGTTCACACCTACTGCTTCAGTGACTCCATCCAGCCATCTCATTCTCTGTCGTCCCTTCTTCTATTGCCCTCAATCTTTCCCAGCATTAGGCCCTTTTCCAGTGAGTCCTTCCTTCTCATTAGGTGGCCAAAGTATTTGAGTTTCAACTTCAGGATCTGGCCTTCTAAAGAGCAGTCAGGGTTGATCTCTTCTAGGACTGACCGGTTTGAACGCCTTGCAGTCCAAGGGACTCGCAGGAGTCTTCTCCAGCACGATAGTTCAAAGGCCTCAATTCTTTTGCGCTCAGCCTTTCTTATGGTCCAACTTTCACAGCCATACATTGCAACTGGGAAAACCATGGCCTGGACTATACGCACCTTTGTTGGCAGGGTGATGTTTGCATTGCTACAGAAGAATAAATAACAGAATACTTTTGTACCAACCATGAAGCCTACCAAAAGTACAATCAATTGCCAAAAGCAGTTAATTATGGAAGTTATTTCAATTGTTGTTGATTTTTTTCCCTTTGGTACTTTGCCAGGACTTTAGTAACAGCCCCCCAAAAATAAATCTTACCATCAGGTTAAACATTTACAATGATGATTGGTATAAAAGCACATTCTTAGTAATAGTAGTAAAGTTGGAAGGGACCTTGGAGGTCATCTAGTCCAACCCCCTGCTCGGGCAGGAAACCCTACACCATTTCGGACAAATGGCTGTCCAGTCTCTTCTTAAAAACTTCCAGTGTTGGAGCATTTACTGCTTCTGGAGGCAAGCTGTTCCACTGATTAATTGTTCTCACTGTCAGGAAGTTTCTCCTTAGTTCTAGGTTGCTTCTCTCCTTGATTAGTTTCCACCCGTTGCTTCTTGTCCTGCCTTCAGGTGCTTTGGAAAATAGCTTAATTCCCTCTTCTTTATGGCAGCCCCTGAGATATTGGAATACTGCTATCATGTCCCCCCTTGTCCTTCTCTTCGTTAAACTAGACATACCCAATTCTAGCAACCGTTCCTTATATGTTTTAGCCTCCAGTCCCCTAATCATCTTTGTTGCTCTTCTCTGTACTCTTTCTAGAGTCTCAACATCTTTTTTACATCGTGGTGACCAAAACTGGATGCAGTATTCCAAGTGTGGCCTTACCAAGGCATTCTATCAACAGAAAAAAAACCCACAATAGCTACAGATGGCAAGACAATAGACTTCACCGAAAATAAGTTATTCAGATTCTGCCTCTTTAAACCTAATCTCTAAAGTAAATTCTCTTGTTTCAAATAAACTGATGGGAAAGACACAAAAAAAGGACTATTTTTTCCCCCTCGCTTTTAATTTTGATGTTCCCTGCATCATAGCATGCTCATCTTCAGATGATGATTTTAACATTTCCTGGAATAATTTCAGTAGCCTGATTTCAGAAATGGCTGTTGGTGGTCATGGCCCTATTTTTGTGTATTTACATATTTAGATGAGGTGGTTGATGTAATGGTCTCTTATTCTTTTTCCTTCTCTTCAGACAGATGGCAATGATAGAAGCCAAGAACTTCACCTCTGTCAAGGAATTCATCTTGCTGGGACTCACCAGTGATAGAAAAATCCAGCTTCTCCTCTTTGTGGTCATTCTCATCTTTTACTTGACTACAGTTTTGGGGAACTTGCTGATCATCATATTAGTGGAGTCTGATATACAACTCAACACTCCTATGTACTATTTTCTTTCTCATCTTGCAGTGATCGAGATATGTTACGTCACCAGCACCATGCCCATAATGTTATCTCACCTCATGGCTGGGAACGGAGCCATCTCCTTCCCACTCTGCATTACCCAGATATTTGTTTCAGGGTCCATGGCTACCACCGAATCTTTCCTACTCGGTGTCATGGCTTATGACCGTTATCTGGCCATCTGCTTTCCCCTAATATATACTGTTGTCATGGACCAGCGATGCCAGTTGCAGTTTGCTTTAGCCTGCTGGATAATTGCCCCTCTGCTCTGTGCCGTATGTGATGCCTTCCTAGTTTCCCAACCCTACTGTGGTCCCAATCATGTCAACCACTTCATGTGTGAAATTCCTGCGGTATTAAAACTTTCATGTGGTGATACACAACTCGTTGAGAACATTGTATCTGGTGCAGGAGCCTTACTACTTCTGCTTCCCCTTTGTGTCATCCTGACCTCCTATGTGTTTATTCTTTATTCTGTATTTCACATGAAGTCTACAGTTGGACAGCGTAAAGCACTCTATACTTGTGGTTCTCATCTGCTTGTGGTCACCTTCTTTTATGGTCCTTCCTTATATATATATATAATTCCAAAATCTATCTCAGCTCCTGATCATAATAAACACAGTGCAATTTTCTACATTCTGGTCACCCCTTTGCTTAACCCTATCATCTATACTTTGAGGAACAAGGACATCCATAGGTCAATAAGAAAAATATTGCAAAGAAAAGACTTTGAACAGAAAACATGAATGTCTTTTTTGTTTTTTAAATGGTCATGTCAGATTGATTTATCATGAGTATTAATTTAGAATGCCTTAAATGTTGGGTTGTCTAGACATAAACTCAACCCAATGATTCTGTGAATGACCTCTCAGACTATTATTATCATGGTATTTAGGGGCAATGTAAATATGCTTTTTAGGAAAAATGAGGCATGTATGGTGCTATTATATCTGCTTCCTGAGCTCTTTACAAAAGTCTCTTTAATAGCATAGTTAAATCTGGAGAAGCATTGACAAAATCTAAAGTAAAATTTGGTGTGTATGAAATTAAATGAAATGATTTGGCTGAGAGGGACAGAGTTTACTGGCCTACATTTCACAAGTCCTTTTAGTCTGGAGTATTATTTATAAATCCATGTTGATCCCAAGTGAACAATGAAATTGTTGACCATACCATAATCTGTTCGAAAGTGTTGCTCAGTATCAATGATAGTTGACTAATTATAGATTTCTCTTTCTCCCAGGTATTTCTTTCTTTCTTTCTTTCTTTCTTTCTTTCTTTCTTTCTTTCTTTCTTTCTTTCTTTCTTTCTTTCTTTCTTTCTTTTAAAATAGCAATTCTGGCTGGGGGATGCTTCTTAAAGTTGCTAAGGTTGAGAAACACCATACCAGGAAATGTGCTCCTATATTATCAATGACATTTGACTCTGAATACACATATAAAAAATTGTATTATAAAAATTACAAAAGAGCATATACTACTAGGTATGTTGGAATATCAGATATTAGGCATTCAGACAAACATCTGCAATATTTATCTATTTCATTTATATTTCATATTCCTAAATCATTCATGCACCTCAAAGAGGGGCTGTAATATAATGTAATAATAATAATAATAATAATAATAATAATAATAATAATCCCCCAGTGAGGCACTACCTTGACGTGGTTGTGGGGCTTGTGTACTCTGAGGAAGATGAGAGCTATGCCAGAGGTTCAACCATACTGGACAGGTCTCATCAGAGGAGTCAGACAAAGAGTGTCTCTCCCATAAAAAATATGGTGAGACGTAAATTGCAGAATGCCATACCGGCTCGGACGTCGCCCGGGTTAACAAGGTCCGCACTAGATATTGGAGTTCCTGGATATCTGGTGAAAAATGGGTTACAGGACTCAGGACTGTTGGCTGAGCAACCAGGGCCAGCAGCTGCAGAACTACTGGAAGAAAAGGTGTTTACCCGTCGCAGATACACAGTGATTGAAAACAAAGAAATAATGATCTGTTACTACAGATCAAGTCCAACAAGAAGAGGATATCTAAAACGAATGCACCAGTTCTGGAAAGAACAACATCCAGAATCAGAAATAACAGAACAGAGACTAGCAGATCAACGTCGATTTATAACACGAAATAAAGTATTCACAGAAACAGAATTGGACGAACTGCAAAGGTTTACCCAAGGCAAAGAAATCAAAGCCTTACCAGAAGTAATTCAGAATGTAGAGGCAAACCAGGGGGAGTTGGCAGTGAAGGAATCCAGCAGAGATATACAACTGTTCTCATTTGGAAACCAGGCACCTCTTCCTCAGGAAGAACAAAACCCTCTAACTAAAGAAATAAAAGAATTGAAACAAAGAATAACTGAGCATCTAGAACAGCACAAAAACAACAGAATAAGGCTACCTGCATTGAAGCTTGTTCCAAAGAAACAGCTAGCACAAGCATTAAAAGATGCAAATACTGCAATATCAAGTATAAGCACCAATTCACTGCAAGAAACAAACCAACTAATGTACAGCACAGCTGCAGTTATAACAGAATACCTGGGATGCAAAATCAACAAAAAGAAAAACAAACAAACAGTGCACCAGAAAAATGGAAGGTTAGACTAGAAAATAAGATCAGCAAGTTAAGATCACATGCAAGCAAGCTAGAACAGATGAAAGAAAAGAAGCTGAAGAACAAGAAGACCAAAGAATACCTAATCAAGAAATACCACTTAGAAACAAGGAAGATCAAGGAAGCACTGGAAATAATAAAGCAACAAATAACAGCTATAGCCAGGAAAATCAGTAGATATGAAGCTCGAATTGCAAACTATAGGCAGAACCTCCAATTTCAATCCAATCAGAAACGTTTCTACCAATCCATCAATGGAGAAACTGCAAGGAATCAGTCAGTACCTGACAAGGAAGAAACAGTGCAGTTCTGGAAGCAGATATGGGATAACCCAAAGAAATACAACAAGGATGCGGCTTGGTTAAAAGAGGTGGATGCAAATAAAACAGAAGTTGAAATGAAAGAACTAGTAATAACAACAAAAATGGTAGAAAAAAGAGCAAAGAAAATCAAAAATTGGTCAGCACCAGGTGAAGATGAACTGCATGGGTTTTGGTTGAAACATCTAACTGTTATACACCCACTCATTGCCAAGCAGTTCAACAATATACTACAAGGAGGAGAAATTGAAAAGTGGCTAACAACTGGGAAAACCTACCTAATAATGAAAAATCCAGCAAAAGGGGCAACACCAGGTAACTACAGGCCAATTACCTGCTTACCAACAACTTTCAAATTACTAACTGGTGTGGTAGCTGATGCAGTACAACAGCATCTAGTTGAAAACAATCTCTTTCCACCTGAGCAGAAAGGAAACCGCCCCAATAGCAGAGGAACAAAAGATCAACTCCTAATAGACAAAATGATCTTGGAAAACTGCAAGAGAAGGAAGACCAACCTGAATGTGGCATGGATTGACTACAAAAAGGCATTTGACTCTCTGCCACATGATTGGATAATAAAGTGCCTAGAAATAACAGGAGTCAGTAGAAACATCAGAAAATTTGTGCAAAGATCGATGGCACAATGGAAGACACAGTTGCAGATCAATGGTGAGAGGCTGGGAGAGGTTAATATCAAGAGAGGAATATTTCAAGGAGATTCATTATCACCATTACTATTTGTTATTGCACTGTTTCCTCTGTCAACAATACTGAATAACTCAGGACATGGCTATCAAACATCAAAAACATCTGCCAGACTATCCCACCTCCTTTATATGGATGATCTGAAGCTGTATGGAAAAACATCATCTGAAATAGAATCGCTGCTCAACACTGTCCGTATATATAGCCAAGATATTGTAATGGAGTTTGGCTTGGACAAATGTGCCACACTTACTATCAAACAAGGAAAAATAATGAAAACTGAAGGAATCAAGATGCCCCACGAAAATAACATTAAGAGTCTGGATGAGGAAGATACTACAAATACTTGGGTATCCTTCAAGCTGACAACATCAAGCACACTGAAGTCAAGAAAAAGATTAGAGGTGAATACATCAAGAGAGTGAAGAAGATCTTAAAATCCAAACTCAATGGAGGAAATACCATAAAGGCAATCAACACCTGGGCAATCCCAGTCATTAGGTACACAGCTGGAATAGTGGACTGGACTCAAGCAGAACTAAAAGCAATGGATAGGCAGACCAGAAAAATAATGACAATGAATCATGCCCTTCATCCACGCAGTGACATTGATAGACTTTATCTACCAAGGCAAATAGGTGGGCGTGGAATGCTACAAGTACATCAGATGGTTGAAGAAGAAAAAATGGCTTTGGAAGAATATCTGAAGAACAATGATGAAGATGCACTGAAATTAGTATATCAGGAAGGCTTACTAACTACTGGAGAGACCAAACTGGCCTACAAGAAAGACCAAATGAAGAACAGAATAGAGGCATGGGAAGACAAAGCACTACATGGCCAATACATGAAAAAAATAGCTGGGAAAGCAGATAATAATAAAACCTGGCAATGGCTAAGAGCAGGAAAATTGAAGAAAGAGACCGAGGGACTAATTCTGGCTGCACAAGACCAAGCCTTAAGGACAAATGCATACAAAGTCAAAATTGAGAAGACAGCAACAGACAGTAAGTGCCGCCTATGCAAAGAAGCTGAAGAAACAGTGGACCACTTGGTAAGCTGTTGCAAGAAGATTGCACAGACTGATTACAAGCAGCGGCATGACAAAGTAGCAACAATGGTGCATTGGAAGATCTGCAAAAAATATCATTTGCCTGTAAGCAAAAACTGGTGGGATCATAAAATAGAGAAAGTCATAGAAAATGATAAAATTAAACTGCTCTGGGACTTCAGAATTCAAACAGACAAGCACCTGCAACATAACACCCCAGACTTAACAATTGTCGATAAGAAAGACAAAAAAGTCTGGATAGTGGACGTGGCAGTGCCTGGAGATAGCAGAATAGAAGAGAAAGAACTGGAGAAGATAACAAAATACAAAGACCTACAAATAGAAATAGAAAGACTGTGGCAAAAGCAAGCAAGGGTAGTACCAATAGTCATAGGCTCCTTGGGTGCAATCCCAAAACAACTGGAGCACCACTTGAACACCATTGGCATTGACAAATTCGCTATTAGTCAATTGCAAAAGGCGGCCTTATTAGGAACTGCTTCCATCCTGCGACGATATCTGTAATACCATCAAACATCCACATCTGCCTATCCCAGGTCCTGGGTAAGGACTCGATAGGTAGACAAAATGCCAAATCCAGTCTGAACATCTGGCTGACTGTGCGATGATCGATAATAATAATAATAATAAAAAAGTTGGAAGGGAACTTGGAGGTCATCTAGTCCAACCCCCTGCTCAGGCAGGAAACCCTACATCATTTTGGACAAAAGGCTGTCCAGTCTCTTCTTAAAAACTTCCAGTGTTGGAGCATTCACCGCTTCTGGAGGCAGGTTGTTTCACTGGTTAATTGTTCTAACTGTCAGGAAGTTTCTCCTTAGTTCTAGGTTGCTTCTCTCCTTGATTAGTTTCCATCCATTCTTCATGTCCTACCTTCAGGTGCTTTGGAGAATAGCTTGACTCCCTCTTCTTTGTGGCAGCCCCTGAGATATTGGAACACTGCTATCATGTCCCCCCTCGTCCTTCTCTTTGTTAAACTAGACATACCCAATTCCAGTAACCGTTCCTTATATGTTTTAGCCTCCAGTCCGCCAATCTTTTTTGTTGTTCTTCTCTGTACTCCTTCTAGAGTTTCAGCATCTTTTTTACACAGTGGTGACCAAAACTGGATGCAGTATTGTATTACTGTATTATACTACTATACTACATTATACTACCCTATCCTACACTATACTATACTATATTATACATTAT